ATTTTATAATACCTATGCGAGTTCGGGTTTCACAGCCGCGGTCGTCGTTGTCTGCAGTGAAATAGGTATATTATTCTAATTGTTTTCACGTTTGCTGTGTGAAAAAAAAGTAAAAAAGAAACAAATAGGTATCGGCGGCACTCTGCGCTGCAGCGACAACAACGGTTCGTATACGGCAGTCAAACCGTACCCATACAGTCGTACACCAGCACAAAGCGCGTATTATTATTACAGCCGTGGCGGGCTTTCAAGTCTACGTCGCGGGGGCGGAATGAGACTACGGTCCTCGGAGGTGCAAAGACGCGGAGAACAATGGCCCTCGTATAGTCGTAGTCTAACCTGCCTCCGACCCGACGACGGTGCGTTGCGCGCGTTCGTTTTCTCCGCCGTCTTTATGGCGGGATTTCGTATTATTTATTTTTTACTACACGATGATGTTTATTACCTGCGCGCGAGAGATCTACACAATCTCTCGGGGCCCGAGACGTAGTGCACGCGTGTATTATTATATTGTATATTATTATTATTATTATTATTATTATTATTATACTCTACTACATTATAGTAAAAGTCGTAGTAAATCCCCTGCGGGTCCCGAAAACCGGTTTCTCGCCATCGCGCCCGCCGACCGGCCAGGGTTGCCAACGTACACTGTTTCTCGGCGCCAAATCCAAGGACAGCGCGGCATGGTCGCCCGTCGTCGCCCGTCGTCGCCGCCTGCAACAGCGTGTACCTGCGCCTATATAATACGTAGGTAGCTGCAATACTATTATTTCGTATTTACACTCCCGTATTCGCAATTATAATAGTTCGTTTATTATTGTTTATATTTTTTTCTGCCAAATTCTAGGCCATAGTGTCAGTAGATTAACGCGTGGAGTCGTTATATTATTACATTCTACTCTCGATCGATTTGGCGGGCACCTAGAGAGGCGAGAGTGGCGTAATACCTATTTTAGAAGAATAGTTCGCAAATTTGCAATTACTGACAAAACAGAAAAAGAAAAATGTAATCCGAATTAAATTGACGGTTATTATGTACATCATAATGACGTATATCCATTTCAAACTTAGGTTTTTTTTTAAACTTTCACACTGGTGGTAAATATATGTTATATGCACTGCGCTGTGTACAAATGGTAACAAATTAACAACATTATATAATGTTTTAGTTGTTAGAAATATCGATTAACAATTAGTCATCGATCTACGACGTTCTAATAATCGAAAAAACAACTGGTTTTCATAATTGATTCGTTGATGATTATGCTATTGTGGAATTTTACTATTTTATGTCTACCAGAGGTATGTTGAGAGTTTAATTGCACGACGCTAATGGGAGTTATAGTGCTACTGAGTATATTAGTGTATCGCTCTTCAAATGTTTTCATCGCACATAAGAACCACTTGATCTTCAGGAATAGGTACTTGTATGGACCTACGCAATTTTAATCGTTCAACGTATTAGGATATTTAGTTGAAACGCTTTCGGGGACCAGGACTACGACTTTAACGAAAATAATGAAATTAAAAAAATATGTATTAATGTTAGTGTTCATTTGGTTTATATTAAAAAATGACATATATATTTTGACTAGCAGGTGGGTTGGGCCTTATCGTTTTATTTATATTTTTCGTCTTGTCGTATAAAATCTGTGGAACGTGCCGTGACGTATCTTTTCGGGCATATGGAGTGACAATTGATAAACAGCCTATAAATCGTATGGCGAGCACCGTATTCGATAAACCTAAGTGTACAACGCATTGCTGGAAAAATTGCTTATACGTGCGTTATTGATGCGATCGTTGAAGATAAGTAAGTTCCACCACACGGAGACAGCATCAAGTTACACGAATGGAGTCGGTGTGTATAATATTATGAACTACCTCAGCCAATATTATAAACATGAAAAAAAAAATGTACCGTAGACGCAATGTCGTAATGTTATAAAAACAACGCCTAAGAAGACGGAGAGACAGTGATAATATGATATTATTATTATTATTATTATTATTATTATTATTATGTTCCACGGTGTTTTCTTGCACAGGTGGGAGGGATTTGGCAGTGTCGTTCGGCGTTCTCGGCGGCCAGCACCGACGCTGTCCGCCACTGCCACCACTGCCGCCAACCCCGCCGCCGCCATCCCCGCCACCAAACGCTCTCCATCGGAGGACCGCTTCACCGCCGGCCTATCCGTGCATGTATGCGAGGCGGTCCATCCATCGTCGGCGGCGCGCACCTGTGCGCCGTTACCTGTTACCCGGCGATGCACCACCAGTCTATTGTCATGTCGGTCTCGGTCCGGTCCCGTTCGCTTGCCGCGCACCGCGTCCCGTCTTCCCGTGGACGAGCCATTTCGATCGCGACGTCGTTATGATTTTATTCGTTGTACGCTTTCGATAAATTTATAATATTCTGCAATAATAACCAATAATTGTTAAAAAAATCGCAAACGTGGTGTCCGTGATGTCAGTAGCAGTTCGTCGCGAAAACATGGAAGATAGTATGAGTATGCCGCCGCCACCCCTGCCGCCGCAGCGCCAACCACCACCACCCGTCAATAGGACGTACAAGAGACGAGCCCTGTTTCAAATCACCAAGGTAAGAGACTATAATATACGCGGACGACGCTACCCCTCCGCCGCGGCAATCCGCCACGCACCGGTCACTACACTCTCGGACGACGACGCCGCCGCCGCCGCCGCCGCCCGCCATTTTGAACACACGCGATTGATTTTTTCGCGAAATCGATGCCTATTTTGCAAATTTATTCTCGATCGAGGATTTCTTTTTTATCCGTCCGCACAAGTCTTCACGCTCGTCCCCGTCTACGTCTGCGCGAAATCAGATTTATTATTATATGCTCTGTCTGTCTGTCTATTACTGCTATCACGTTTACGCGACACCATGTGAATTGAATTTAAAAAACATCCATCGTCTCTGTCTTGCGACAATCTTGTATTATTATAATTGTACCACAAGTTGCTCTTATTTACTTGTTTTTGTCAATTGCCATAGGGTCACATAACATGTACCTATTTAGTTTGAAGTAAATTAAGTTATTTGATTCGAAATTAGCAATTTTTAAATAATATTATGATCTCAATGAGTATTATACTCTCGGGTATATGATTATTATCGTTAACAATCGATATGTTTTCCACCGAATATGTTATGAGATATTATCTACTCTATTCTGTATTGTATTATAGGTACAATAGGGAAGAAAGTCTCATTGGTACATATTGCCAATTTACTATTATTCAAAATCGTCGCATTGTTTTGCTGGGTTGTTTGACAAGACCGTCTAGGCATGCTATACACCAAGTGTAGGCATATCTCAACAATGTACAAAAATTACAGTTTTACTTCGAGGAGTTAATCTACACTCTAGTGTCAAATTTAGGTGCTTAAAAAAGTGTTTATTATAAAATAACTGTTAACGTAGTATAATAATATGATGTAATGTGTATCACGATTATTTAGCGCATGTATTAAAATATATACATGCACGCACGCCTACCTCATTGGATTTGTATTTTACAATCGCGATAAGAACGAAATCAACGCTTTGTATGTTATTACTATTAGGTATACTTATTAGTGATTACTTTGTATAATTTAATTGAAATTTGCTAGCGCTATATTACTGCAGTTTCGAACAATGTGTTATTATAATTTGTGTTCGTAATGCAATGCTGTATGGAAATTTGTATAGATAATATATTAATATACCTACACCCACATTAACGCAGGTCGCCGACACACGGTATCGAGTAAAAAAAATCAATTTCCTATTTTAGGTAGGTAGGTATACTAGATAGATATATTGGATGATCTACGATACTGTAATATCGTCTATATAATGTAATGGTGTAACGTCGCATTATCCGTGACCGATACAAGTGTCTCCGGGCCAATGCGCTATCGCTCTTGGCGACGACGTACCTTCAAACCGATTCGTCGTTTTCCCCTTTTTATTGTCTCGGGTAGGAAGAGAGTCATGATCTTCTAACGGTCACGATTATCGCAGACTCCAACATTCGTGTTGATCACTATACGGACATTTGATAGGCACAGAGTAGTGAGATTTGGATAAATCGTCAGTGTTGTTTTCGTTGCTGCCGTGAAAGTACGTATAAAATAATAATCCCAGATGAGTAATAACATTTATTCTATAAACCGCGCATTTAAATGTATAGTAATATATAATACGAGGCTATACCTACTACGAAATGAGTAATATCGAAAACAACACGTTTATAAAATCGTGTACGGTAAAAAATGTTAAATATTCGGATGTATAATATATATATAATCTAGGTAGTAAAGGATACTAGTCTGAGGGAGTCTACACCCGTAGACAGCCTCGTATATATATTTTCATAATATAATATGTGACTCATACCCGGTCGGCCTGTCAGTTTTGTTTCGAAGGGGACCTGTTGACTAATACAAGTCACAACCCTATACAGTTCATTTTGTATAATATACATTGTTCCGGTGCACAGGTGTCCGTGAAATCATAATGACAGTTCGCCGTGACCACGGGGGCATGATGATTCTCCCCTCACTATTTTCTATAATATATACAGAATAATATATAGTAGGTATATATGTAATTAACCGGATGATTGATGGCCTATAATTTTGAATGTCATTGGAAGTCAATCAATGTAAAACATTAATTTAATGCGATTGCTTTTCTGAAATAAGGGGTCAGCACTGAAATGTGAACCTGTATATGATTTGTATAGGTAGTGTAAACACTGCACTGCTTAACAGCAGTACCCTGCAGTAGATACCTATATGATGTATGCACTCCAAGGTTAGGTCTCCAGTCTAATAGCTCCTATCTGAGAATCGTTCGTATATGAAATGAATACCTATGCTATTGCTAATTAGTACAATAAATTAAAATTAATTGAAATAACGTGTGTATATTTTTATTTGTTTGCTTGTCATATATTTACCGATCGTTAATGTATTGTTCCAGGTGTTATGGCACTTAGACATATTCAGACGGAGCTTCAGAGAGCTGTATGGGCACGCTTGCATGGAAGAGTCATGCATATTTTGCGCTCTAAAGGTAAGAAAAAATAACATCCTTCATTTAGAGAAATATTGTAAATGGACACACTATTACGGTTTCTATTTCAATTCGCATATTATCGTCGGTCTTCAATGTCTCTTCAGGCGGCTTGTTGTGTGTATATAAATATATATATACTATATGTATGTATCGCAAAACACGCGATACAGTATTACATATATATAGTTTAAACGTTAAATTTCACTCAGATTTCAATGCATTTATTATATTTTTTTCTATTTCACGCGAAAAACACATCATTACAGTAGCCCCGCTGAGGCTCTATGTAGACTATAGCGTATATAATAATATAATATACAAGTATTTAATATATATACAAGTACATACTGGTGCTGTATGCCGATCTAAGCGCATTCCTTTGGGTAGAAATCTATCTACCTAGTTATTTAGTAGAACTCTGTTCGACGTTGTTTTATGTGGTCAAAAACATACAAACCATACGATCTGTGATGCGTATTATTATTATAGAGACCGGATTCCATTATAATTATTTTCACGTATAAAAGCCCAAAGTCGTAATAACAATTTATTTTATCTGCAGGGCGCTTTAGGCCGACCAACCTCCAGTAAAACCGGTATCTCTGCGACGAATCTTTCGGCGAACTCCAATCGCGTACGATGATATAATATTCGTTTAGACGTCGGAAATACGTTTTATAATAATATTGTATTTCACACCATTTCGCTCCTCTTATCGTGTATTCGTATTGTACGAAGACATTGAGACGCGTCAACGGTTTTCGACGTCGTTATTCGGATGGACGCATTTTTATTAATTGTCTTCTCTCCGTCGAGTTTTTTGCGCGATTTAACGTATCATTTACGATATGTATTGCGTCTAATTATTATCTTCACCATCCCCACTGTAGATTCTATAGCAATAATAGCCAGTAGGTACAACGATTAATATAAAACTTAAACCGTGGTAGGTATCAGCTATATGCATAATGCATATAGGTACAACCAGGCGACACTCGTAAAGGTACTCGTTTCACGCATATACGCACTTATAATATCTATGCTTACGCGCGATAGGTCCCGAGATGTTGGTGTTCCACCTACTCGGTAGTACTGGTTTTTAGACGTGGCACCGTTTTTTTTTTTTTTGAAGAACCGGTCTTCGACAATCAAGTCTCCCTCGATCCCCTTCACCCCCGACGCACGTGCACACCCCCTCGGGCGCGCGAAGAGCCTACGAGAATACTGAAATAAATAAATACAGTATTTAATTAGAGTAGGTATACAGATATATGTATATATTATATATATATTGGAGTACGAGGTACACTGTACGTGCTGCGACTCACAATATATGCTTCGACGACAATGGCCGCTTGATTTGACGTTCTTCTGAAAGCGTGTATAATGTATATGTATATATATATATATATAATAGAGATCGATGAATCTTCGGGACGACGATGATAAATGATCTTCCGATATAGACGAGATGGCGTTGGTATATACTTGGTAGTCTCTCTTTATATACAAGCGCGTATACGGTTTTCATTTCTCGCGTACAATGTAATATTTTATTATTATTATTATTATTATTATTATTATTATGTTCGAATGATTAATTGATCGCACTGACCGCGGAATCTTAAGTAACATATTATTATTATTGGGTCGGGCGAACGGGCGCACGCAGAAAATATTTAGTAGGTACAATATTTATCGAGTCCGACAACGACAATCCGTGTATCTCACATTTTGGAGAGATAAGTTCTACTTCTACACAATAATGTTTTTAGATATATAAAAAAAAAATCCCTACGAAACCGGTCGGTTAAGGCGAATGTGTGTTGAACCTCGTACGACTCGTACGGGTTTGGTTTATACGAAAGGTTAAAGAACGAGATATTAAAGTATTATAATATTATTATATTGTGTTTGTGTACACATTTTTGGTCGATAACGTTAAATAGAAATTTCGCATAATTATGAGGTATTATTTACGATTGTATTACTCGTGGTTGTTTAATGTGTGTTTCCAAATCTATATGCTGTTTTCTTCAAAAAAAAAATAATTAATCTATCTGTGCATGTGCGCCTAGTTTAATAAACTCGAATAGATACGACTTTAAAATTGTTTTTATTATGTGAACAATAGAGGTTTAACGTACTCGTATTATTTTTGCTTTTGTTATAAATTGTAATATTATACTATGTGTAACTAGTTTTTTCTTTTAATAGGTTTTTTTTATGGATAACATTAATTTTGATACTTGTGTTAAAAAACTTATTAATATACAAAAAACCAGATAACAAATAATAATGAAAAAACACGCGTGTTGTAGAAACGCATGACTCGTCAAATAAATTCAAAGAAATCTTTTAGTCAGCTATATATTATCCTATGAATCTACAGCTTCGTAGTAGTTGTATATTTAATAAAATGTCACAGGTTTTTATCAGCATTCTAAACAAACCTTGATGCTTATTATGCAATACAAGTGTTTTAACATACCTACCTAATATAATAATATACTCAAACGTATTTTATTATGTTATGTTCTAGTTTTGAACGTGGTGGAGCCATTTTTTTTTATATGTTTCATGATTTGGTTCGATTGTTGTACCCGTATATTTTTTTATTTGTCTTGATATCCAATAACGGATTTCTTAAATCACTATTCATCTGGGAATGGGTAAACTGGGTGAAGCTAGCTCGACCATAATGTCAATAATATATTTATGTATATAGTTTTTTATGAATAAAGGATCGCTTTCTCGTTGATTTATTTTTATTTTTCGGTTTGCCTTATTACAATTTATCAGTGAGATACGGTTAATACAAAAGATTGTGGGTGGAAAGAAGGTTCACTTGAAAAGTCATAAGAATCGTGACAAACTTATTTTGCAACAACTATTACAAATCGTTTTTGTTATTAATCATACGGCATACCCCGAGGGCTATTCATTTAGTAGAATTTAATCTAAATCTTTCATATATAAGCATAAATAAGAATACAAAATATATCTTTGTTATAAGTTTATAATAATATCTCGTAACCTCTATAATCTTTGCTGCAGAAAAGGTTGTAATTAAATCCAAAAAATTTGATCATGGGAAAGTCGTTATGGAAGTATATAAGATAACAACCGGATATCTTATTGTTTAAAAACTCTCACAGTAGTTTGCATAGGCCAGTGACTCATTCAATCGTACGAATAAAATTATACCTTTGGGTAGGAAACCGACGAAATTAAACAACTCGTTGTCTATGAGGCACAGTAACCTTAGTAGTAGTACTCTTATGTAATAAAAACGATATTGAACTGCGATGCTATAATGTTAATAATAGCAGTGGCGGTCAAATGAAGGGGTAATGAGGGGGATAGATCCCCCCATGACCTTTTTTTTTAAAAAGTTGAAGAGCTGATAATCATAAATTATATTTTGAATAATCTAATTGAGCATTTAAAAAATCTCCCCCCCCCCACCTTGACTTAATTATCTGACCACTACTGAATAATAAAAAAGGTCTATTAAAAAACCTAATCTTAAAAATGAACTTTAACTTTATGCAAACGATTATTTTTTATGATTTTAGGAACTATTCACAGCACTTGGTTCCAGCCAAGAAACAGCTTTGCCTCCAGATGCACTGAGGAAAGCTCTTGCTCAATCATTTTACGACCAGAGAAGATTCCAATTAGGTTTCATGGACGATGCAGCAGAATGCTTTGTATGTGTTTAATATTATGCTAAATAAAAATGAAGTGGTTTTAACGTTTTGTTGTTACAGGAAAACATATTATTACGAATACACTACCATATAGCCAACGAAGAAGCTGAAGACATGTGTAATGCAAAACATTGTATATCTCATCAGAAGTTTGCAATGACATTAGTTGAACAAAGTGTATGTGGTGCTTGTGGAGCTACCTCAGAACCTCTACCTTTCACTCAGGTTTGTAAAATGTTTAATGATTTTGTAACCATTTGCTATTTAGTGTTTTAATTATCTTATTTGTTTTAACTTTATTTAGATGGTGCATTATGTATCCGCTTCTGCATTGACTGCTCAAGTTAAACAATTTCCTTCAACCGGTCAAGCCGATCTATTTGGTCAACTATTGAAGAAAGCTGGTGGAATGGGAGATATTAGAGATTGCCCAGTAAGCTAACATGAAATAATTATTTAAAAAACCATTTTTTTTAAAACACATTATTTTTTCAGAGTGCTTGTGGTGCTAAAATACAAATAAGAAGAACACTAATGAACAGGCCTGAAATAGTTTCAGTAGGTATAGTTTGGGATTCTGACAGACCTACGTTAGATCATATAATGGCCCTTTTAAGTACACTGCGAACTTCATTACGTCTATGTGATGTATTTCACGGATCATTCGACTTACCAAATGGAAGTATGCCCCTACAACATCAATTAGTCGGAGTTGTGACGTATTACGGAAAACATTATTCTACATTTTTTTATCACACTAAACTAAAAATTTGGATTTATTTTGATGATGCTAACGTTCGTGAAATTGGTCCTAGATGGGAACAGGTAAAATTAATGATATTTAGAAAAACATTCATTATTTTATTAAATATAATACTAAATATTAATGTATTGTATTTGTTTTATTATTCAGGTAGTAGAAAAATGTAAGCGAGGAAGATACCAACCTCTTCTGCTCTTATTTGCTTCTCCTGAAGGTGAACCCGTTAATGCAACAACGGCACCAAAATCTATAACAAAGGCAACCAAACTTTCGTTTAGTGCAAACACTATTCAAAGTTTGTCTCAATGCCGTAGGTCTCTTACACCTAATCCAGAAAAACCCTTATCAAATCAAGGTCAACGGAGAGCTGTCACTCCAAACCCAGATCCAATAATTGCATTAGCCAAACCAGTAAGTTAAAATATAATTACCTAACCTTACTATTAAAATTAAAACGAACAACAATTATTAATTACAGGGTTTAAATTCTTCAATAAACGAGTATCAAAACTTGGCTCACTATCAAACAGTTATAATGGCTAAAGCTGCAGAAATGTACACAAATGATGATTTAAATGATCAACCGGGATCACCTAGATCTATGGCATCTAAATGTGAACTAGTTAGAAGAGATTCTGGAAATTGGAGTGGTGATAGAAATAGTGCTTCATCCTCATCATCTACTTCATTAGAAAATCCTTACCAATATTTTGTTGGAAAAATCCAAAACAGGTATGTGTAGTTAATAATGGTGAAAAACGATTTTTACTTATCAAAATTTAATTGAATTATTAACAGGGCTGGAAATGGTTTTAGCGGCGTTCCTCGAAGCCCCAACAAACCAAAAGATTATACAATGAATCAATTTGATTTAGGATATGACTCTTATTCATTATCTTCAAATGATAGTTTGCCTTTACAACAGAATCTCAAGCATAACCTACAGGTAATTGAAATAAAATATGTTAGTTATGCAGTCAATAATATGTGTGTTTTTTCAGCTTGCTCAAATACCGGAAGGACATCAAACTTCTCATACGTCATTGAAAAATGGTTCCAAAAATTCTGGTATGTAAAAATAGGAATAATTTTTTTTAATAAGATGTTATAATTATACTGATTTATTTATATTTTTAGCAGTCGATGAAGTCGAAAGGCTTTGTGCCGAAGCCGATCAGTTATTGGGAAAATCTGAAGCTACTGAAGATTTAGTTATGGCATTGTCTTTGTGTAATTTAGCTGCTGGTAAAGCTAGAGCTGCAATGGATGCTCCATATAGTAATCCCCAAGTTGCTAGTTTTGCAAGAATGAAACATAACACTTGTGTGATGAGAGCTCGCAGTTTACACAAGCGACTTGAAGAACCTCTTCACTCTACAAATAAACGTGTGTAGATTTGTTATAATTTGAAAACAAAATGAATTTTATGATAATAATTAATTTGATTTTAGATGGTGAAGGAAGACACAGTCGAGAAGGAAGTAGTAGTAGCAATAGAGGATCTCAAGTATCGCATAGCCGGCAAAATTCTAAAGATAAAACAATTCAGCACTCAAGGCAAAATAGCAAAGAATTACTTGACATGTCACTTCAGTTATCATCTTTGCACAATTCCCCTGTAGATAAATCTGTAAAAAACATTGAAATTTATGCTACCTTACCGAAGAATAAAAAAGGATTGTTATCTCGTTCATCCAACAAAACAAAACAAGTAATTGAAGATGAAGAATACATGATGTATGAAAGACCTAGTAGAAGCTTACAAACTAAAAGTAAAGCTAATAAAAAAGATGGAGAAAAAAGAGCAAGGAGTGAAGAACGTGGTACAAAAAATACTAAAGAATTCCTGTCAAACTCTCTGACAAAGGAAACAAAAAAACCTAAAGTTGAAGATAACAAGCAGCAAGGTAAAAAACAACATAAAATAAGGAGAAAATTGCTAATGGGTGGTTTAATAAAAAGGAAAAATAGAAGTATGCCTGATCTACGTGAAGATGAGTTGCAGATAAAAGATCCACCTAAAGAAAAAATTGTATCTAAAGATGACTCAATGGTCGACTCAATAAGTAGTCAAAACAATCTAAGTGGATATTTTTCTGAAGGTCATCTAGAGAGTACAGGAAACGCTAATTTATTGCGAAGTAAACTAATGAGAAAAAGTTTCTACACTAACAAATTCCTTCATTTTGCTAAAGTACCACCGCCACCACCAATGCGTACATCTTCTCAACTGAGTAAAGCAGAAGGCAATAAACAACAGAATGATTGGGGTTCTGAGCCTCAATCCTTACCATACATCCATCCTCGTAAGGAAGATGTGACTTACGCTAACGGTGGTATGTTACTTGACAAGGACAACAAAAATGTTATGATTACTCAAGCTCAAGTTCATCACAATCCAGAACAAAATGTTGTCATAAACAATGTTGATGATCTTGGGTTTCCATTACCACCTTATCCAAGTCCACTAAATTCTGTGTGTCATTCAAGACAACCTAGTGAAGAATTTCCACCACCACCGCCTCCGGCACAACCAATTGATGAAGTTGATGGAGCTTGTCCAGCTATGCCTATGGAACAAATTAAATTGGAAGTGAATGAAGAAAACAATTGGATAAAAGAGTTACAATCAAAGCAAGCCATGTGGTGTGATAATGATCAAGTTGGTCAAGATTTAGAGTCCAAATCAATTGTAAAAGATTTGAAAAATAAATTTGAACAAAAGAGCATTATTGATAATTTAATAACACATGCAATTAATAACTTACCAGCAGATAGTATTTGTGAAATAGTCGACGACGAAGAAAAGAAAATTGAAAAGGAGCTTAAGGGCGCATTAAGCAAAACGTCATTTGATAGTAGCGAATCAAAAAGAAAATTAGGAAAAAAGAAAAATGTTACCTTTTGCGAACAAGTAGTTCTAGTTGCGACTGCGGAAGAAGATGAAGTGGATAGCTATATACCAAATCCTATTTTGGAAAGGGTTCTTAGATCAGTACTCCACAAAGATATTCCTATTGAACCAAATAGGGAAGTCACAAAATCTGTAATTCCATTGAAACGAAACGACTCTGGTCAATTCAATCGTAGCAATTTATCTTTAAAATCTTGTTATGAAAATAACAATGTTGAAGAAAAATCTAATGTTGAAGTAAAAGAAGAGCTACCACCAAAAACGTATCGCATGTCTCCTGTGCAACAATTGCCTCAAACACTTTCATCCATGGCGGTACAACCCAAACTAAAAGCACCTCTTCCTGAACAAATTCAAAAACCTGTAGAATCTGTAAAAAATTACCGCATGTCACCAATTCAACAGTCAACAACTCTTAACCAATCTCCATTGACACAACAAAAATTCAAATCTCCTTCTACTTCACATATAGCAAATGCAATGTCAAATTTGTCGATAAACTCAATGGAGAGTATTCAGTCGGTTCAAAATCAATCCTCAACCACACATAGGTTTTATTCCCAAAACCAACAAAATAACATCTATCCTCAACAGTATCAAAGTCTTTCGCATATGGGACATCAAAAACCGTTTTTAAACAATGAACCACATTCACTGAACTATCAATCGATGAGTGAGAACAAATCAAGTAACTCGCCTGTAAATTGTAGATCAAATCAGTCTTCTTTGGAGAGGAATCAAACGATCAGACAACCGAACATTAATGTTCCGCCGAATTGTTATCCCCAACAGTCACCTGTTGAAGGCAGAAGCGGTCATTTTAGATACAACGGTGACAGTCAAACACAACTCCGGCTTCACGGAAATCAAACATCAAATTCGGAAACAAATACCCACCAATATCAAACCAACTCAAGCTCTCCCAGAACATCTTACCCACAAAATAATGCACGTTTCAATACTTCAAACGTTGAACCACCTGGTCAATATCAAAATAACAACGAAAACAGAACGTACAACAACCACGGTCAAATTCCCCAGTACCAATGTCAACCGCTTGAGAGGTTGAACAGCAGCAATAATAACATCAGTCATGCGACTGATAACCGGACATGTTATCCGCGGCAACCTAGTCCCGTACAAGCACAACACAACAACCTCAATATCAATAATTTCGGCCGTCACCAATCAAGCCCCACGACTGTTTGTAGTGAAAACGGTAATAGAACCACCTATGGGCAGACGCAACAGCATCAATTCGACAGATCGAGCTCTTCGATCAATTGTAGCGACAAGCCAGTGATGAACCAACACCACAATCCTCATCAACAACAACAACAACAACAACAACAACAACAGCAGCAGCAGCAGCAACAACAGTTTATTGATAGGCTGAGCATCGCAAGTAGCGAAAACAGCAATAAAACAGGTTATCTGCAACAGGGAGTATCTGCTAACCAAGCGCAGCAGTTGGAAAGGATGGCCCAACATTACGAGAACAAGACTGGCGGGTATCTGCAGCAGGGCCTAACCTCAACGAATCTGTTGCCCCAGCAGCAGTTTGGCGTTACAACGGGAGACAACTACAACAACAACAACAACAACAACAACAAGACGGGCAGCAATCAATCGCAGCAGCCGTCGGTACAACAGTGTTCGCCGAACTACGCGCACTCCGAATCGAGGACGTCGTCTGGATACCCGATGCCGCAGCCCGACAACAGACCCGCGCAGGCCCTTCCGGCCGGATACCCAAGGAACTCTGTGGAAGTGAAACCTGGCCCACACTCACCGGGCGTGTTGCTGAGGCAGCGCAGCATGGTCAACGGCTTCCATTCGATGCCGTACACCCGACAACCCGCGGACACCGTGTCTCACCTGCCGCCGGCGCACCCGAAAAAGGACGCCGCCCAGCCGACCAACGGTTTCGCGAGATCGCCCGCCGAGTCGGCGCACGGCTCATCGTCGTCGCTGGACCGGAACAAGCAGCTTCACCAGCAGTACGGTGGCCAGCTGGACGGTACGACGCCATCGCTCCAGTCGCCGTCCAAGATCCGCCCGGTTAACTCGTCGTCGTCGTCGTCGTCGTCGTCATCGTCATCAGCGGTGTCGTCGGTACAGAGGACCAACACGGTACGCAGGCCAATGACTGTTTATGAGCCGCAACAGTTACCGCCCTACCAGCACCCGCCGGTCCCGGTGGCGTTCAAACAGCAACAGCAACAGCAACAGTTGCAGCAGCCGTGCAGGCCCAACGGCCAGCCCAGGTCCACGACGCCCAACGGCAACGCGGCGGCCGCCGCCTCCAACGATCCGGGCCGATACGCCGTTTATCAGCAGCCACCGTCACCCCGGTTGCAGGAGAAATGCGCCAACGGCGTGATGAACGGCATGCCCAGGCCGTCGCCGTGCAACCTGTGCCGCAAGAAGGCCGTCAACCACCCGTCCATATACTGTTCGGACTGCGATTTTTACATGTCAAGGTTCAAGCCCAAGGCTCAATCGACTACGTGCTAACATGATATAATATTATAGGTAGTGTTTGCGAATATTTTTTATGCAGCACGTGATCTCTTCAATTTTGTATCTGTGATATACAACAGTTAATTAGTAATCATTTTATTATAGGTACATTATTAAGTTTCTGATGTTATATCGTATTAGTGTAGTTGAAAAATACTATTATTTGAATTTTATCATTGTATGTGGTATGTATTGTACCTAATTTCTTTTTATTTATAATTATTTGTTTGTACCACGCATTTTATGATTGATTGAAAATCGTTTTTGAAAAACTTTGTAATTTTATTTTTTCATTTATAAGATATAATATATATTATCGTTATTTTATATTAAATGATCTCATTACCATATTGTAATATACATTTTAATAATTAAATGTGTGTAATATCGTTAGGATGACATTTTAGTTGTAAAAACATAATTGTAAGTTTTGCCATGTTCGATTTATAAAATATATTAATATTAATATAAGCCCACCTCTTTCATCAGTGTATTTATTGTTTAAGATGATTTTTATTTAAATTATAACGAATTTGAAAGAATAAAATATATATTTTAATAGATGATAGTATACTTGTCTTTCATTGTCGTTTTTTAGCTTTGAAGAATAATAGTTTCTTCATAATATAAACATAAATTATTTAATGTATTCTGTATAGAAAATAATAGTAAGTGTAATGGTGACATATTTCAAGTCAATATGCTATATAAATATATAATCAAACAATCAAACAAAATAATATTTGAAGAACAATTGTTGTTACCTACATGGCTACATAAAATATGTTTGATATTAAACAGAGATTGGATATCATTTAAAAAATGTCAACTTCAAATGATTATAAAACGAATGTTTATAAGTATTTTCGAAACTAAGGTAAAAATGTAAAATGCATTTAAAATGTATTTTAATCATGATTAATTAATAGTAAATACTTCGATTTCCGAATATGAATTTGAATACTTCATAAAAATAGTATTCAGTTTAGCTATATGAAAATATCCCAAATGCTTTAAAAATTTTTATGTTTTAAATATAAAGAAAATTATATATATTTATAACTACGAAAAAAATTGAATTTACAGCCAATATTAAAATATATATTGTATTTGTATACCAGGTAATGCTTTTATTACGAACCACAATATTTAAAAAATGATTAATGTTTTAAAAAAAAACACAGTATTTTTAAAGAATAAACACATTTTTTTATCTACGATGTTTTAAGTTCTAAATTTTTTGAATTACAACATACAGCTTTAATTTCATACTATAAAGCAGAACATTTATCTGAGTTTCAGTACACAAAAATCGAATTTAGGACAAGTAGTTTATGAGTAGCTCATAAACTACTCGTCCTAAATGCTTCCTAAGATTAGGCTAAAACTGTATATGTTGCCATTCAAAAATGTAACATCTTAAAAAAATTATAGGGATAAAAATATTTTTTAAAAACACGTCTTTTAACATCTTGAAACCATGTAAAAATATTATTTTCAAAAACATTGATACTTTTTGAAATAAATAATTAACCTATATACTATAAATATAATATATTAGTAAGTAGTATATATTACCGTGATAATTTATGATTTACTATTTACAATGTAACAATAGATATTAAAATAAAAATTGGTTTTTCGAATATACTGTGTACATTTGATCAAATATTATCCGAATTATTTTGAAAATTATATCATGTATTCATGCTAGAAAATTCGTGGAAGTACTGTACAAGTAAGTATTTTTATGACGATTTTCGGTATAAAAGATTATTCTTAATCATTAAAAATCGACTTCGTCAAAAACATGTCGAATTAATATTCCAATTTTACGTTTGAGTGCTGTTTTTCCAAATTAGTATAAAAGTACTGGGAATTTCACATGTTTGAAAGAACAAACTAGATAAAAAAAATTTTCGGTTGATCCATTAAATGTTGATCGGCATTCGACGACTGAGTGTTGACCGTTGAGTGACAACGCCACGTGTACTATTCAAATTTCAAGCACTCACGGATTATGTAGGTATGTTGAATGGTGTACTTACGGACAATAATAAATATAAGTTATAGGAGATCCATAGCCCCATAGGTGCTCAAATATTAACAAATAACAGTACATAATACATGGTTTATACCAAAGTGTGTAACCGGTAACTCGGTACTATAGTAGACATTACTAGTATACCTACTATATTATTCTAAAATATATGAAACGGTCTTACTACGCATTATCCAGTATTCAGTGGTGTAATTGAGAATGTTTCATGGGGAGGGGGGATATCAAAATACATTTGTACAGTTAACTTGTGGGGGGCAAAGCCCCTCACACTTCTCTTATCTAAGTTTTATATCTCAGTGCATACTGCATATCAATATAATTATTCTATATTACATATTACTATACAAATTAACAAATTTGTTAGAAATTGTTTTCTAATTTTACAGTAGTATGTCCAGATACCTATAAGGCGTTTTGGCAAGTTCATCAATGACTTTTTCGTTTGAAAATGTAATATCATTATGAAATGCCAACATTGCCAGATCACTAAGTCTTTTTTGCAAACAAAATTTAAAAATTGTACTTATAAGGTATGAAAATGTATTTTATTAAGCACAGGGCACATAGCTATTATAATTACCAACCTCTGACATACTGTTTCGAAGATACGTTTTTGTGCTTCTAAGACTGGAAAACATCATTTCTTGCGTAGGTACTTGTAGAAACAGAAACTGCACATAGTATTTTTTAAATAAATTTTGCATTTGGATAAACATCGGCATTACACCCATGACACGTGTAATTGCTTCAGTTGTAGTTTTAGGAATATTGTTTACCCGTTCAAGTTTTGTCTTCCACAATAATTTCAATTCTGTAATTGAATTGATCACATCCAAAGTAGGCGAATAAAACGCTTAAGTTATTTTCTAAATGATACCTCCTCATTAATTAGCTACCTTTACATTTTAATACTTACGTCAGGTCCAGGCTTAATAAAAAAAAATTTCAATAGATTACTATATGGATTACTATTATGCTGGTGGTTTTCTTTTTCTTTTGCTCCATTTTTATTTTGGCCTTTAAAAATAAAATCAATTACTATGTAGTATGCAATGTGACTGTGTGAGAAGGACACGTTGGGTAGTGTATAGGTAAGTACAGGAAATTGCGATAATCAATGTAGATACATTGTGTTGGCGGCGCGAGTCCGTTGTACATTATAATTCGTCTTACGAAATGTAAATATTGAAGTTACATTTTTTTTATTAGATTATGTTTTTGAAATCATGGTTTTACCTTTTACCCATCATCGAATTATTTACGATCTTAACAGTGGTTCCCAACCTTTTTCATTCTATGCCCCCCTTGTAAATTTACTATAATCTCACCCTCCCTTAAATTAGAGTTTAGGCGAATATTTTTTTTGGTGAGCGGTACAAATAAAACATACAAAATAATTATACATTAAACAATATACAACTATTTACTATTATTATTTTCATCATTTTAAAATTGTATTATAAATCATTAAATCAACTTACGAAGTACCTAATAATATTATGTACCTATAAGAAAAAAATATTGAAAATAAAAACAAAAATATTAACATTAAGTATAAATAATATCTCGGTCTATCGACTCTATCGTTATAGGTGAGTATTGGTAATATATAATACTGTTATCGATGACCGATAACCTGTGAACTAATAGAGGGTTTTCAATTTTACACATTATAAAACAACACAATTATTTTCGTTATCCCATCATCGCTATACCCCCCCCCCACCTTAAATTCTCCAGTTATGATAGTTTTGTTTTGACTGTAGGTACGTTGAGTTGATTCAGGACATATTATTTTTAATGTGTAGAAGTGTAGTCTGGTGTAGATGATAGTTACTATCCATAATTACTTATTGATAGCAATATAGCATCAAAAATCGCCAAACTTCATGATCTATTAATCTTTTAGAAATTAGATAGTAATGATTATATATTTTTAGTTAAAAGAATTTTAATGAAAATTGATCCAGTAATTTCGTAGTTTCGGAGGAAATATAGCAATAAGCCAATTTCGTCGAACTGGGCTCAGCAGCTCAGCTCTGACCATAAATCGTACTGCGATTTCCAAATTTATAATTTTATATTATTCCTGATCTATATTTTGTCATGGTTACGAAAAGATAAATATTAATTCCACAGACCTTAATAGCTTATGGCTTATACTAGGTCTATAATAAATATTCATTGTTCCAAATTCGATAAACACGTTTTGTTGGTGGTCACACCGAATAGCGTCCTTGATAAGTGATAGTAGCGCGTAGTGATAAGAAATTGGTGTTTTCAAAAAACGAGTTTTATTTATACTGCTTTACTTCCGAAATTCTGATAAATTGTAATTCGTATTGAATTTGGCCGTTATTATTTCATTCAGTTAATATTTGAGTCGTGTCGAACATCATGGTGACAGTTTAAGAGAAATTCCGTTTAGTTCTCGTTGACTTCGTTGGGGCAATGTCGATCGTTAACCATGGCTGCCAAAAAAGTATTGATCAAATCCAAATTTGAAGAAGGCGAAAAAGTGCTGTGCTACGAGCCAGACCCTGCGAAAACTAAAGTTCTTTACGATTCCAAAGTAATAAAATACCCACATACTACCCCACTTGCAGCATTTTAATAAATTACCTTTTTTCTGTACTTTTAGGTTTTAAGAGTGGTGCCTGAAAAAGATGACCAAGGTCGCAAATTTTGCAAATTTCTCATTCATTTTCAAGTAAGTGTAATATGTAAGTGTTATAAATCTTCTACAAGTAAAAATGTGAATGCATTTTTCAGGGATGGAATTCCACATGGGATAGATATGTTACTGATGAATTCATACTGAAAGATACAGAAGAAAATCGCAAGCTTCAAAAAGAACTGGCCGAAGAAGCTCAACTTACACCGTAAGTTTTGCATTGTTATTGAAAAGATAGGAGAAGTTAAAATGTTTCTGTTATTTCAGTGGTGGAAATTTGTACAGAAAAGAACGGAAGAAACGAGTAGTTAAATCCGAACCTAAACCTTTAGTAATAGAGCCAGCTATAATTGCTATAGATGATAAGTCTATGGTGGAAGACGAAAATGTACCAGTACCTATTGATACAATACTATTACCTAAAAGAAGGTTACCAGACCTTGAGTTTCCAGATAATTTAAAATTCCATACTGGATATAATTGTTATTTAGCACACGAAAAGAATATAGTAAGGAATAATAATATTTAGTTTAGCCAGTTTTTTCTCATATTGTTATTTTATTATTATTCAATAATATGATTCTAGTTGGTTCAGTTACCTTGTCAACCTAATGTGGTTACACTACTTGAAAGTTACCTTAGGTATTTAGCAAGAAATAACTTCAGTGACAATAAAGCAACCAAAAAAAAACGTCAACCTGAAGTAATTGACAAAAAACAGCTAGAAAAACGGTTAGTTTATATTTTTACCATGAAATAAATGATTACAAATAACTTACTTATTCCTTGTTTATTGTCATTTGTAAAAAAATATTTGGGATTTTAATTATTAACTTCTGTTTATTATTATAACTTTAAAAAAATCAAATTTATAACTGTTCTTGTTTTGTTTTTTTTTCATATTTATATAGTTACATCATTTGTGTAGAAGTATTAGATGGTCTAAGGATTTGTTTTAACACTTTCTTATTCAGAAAGTTATTAGTTAACGAAGACGAACAAGCCCAATATTATGAGGCATTAAAAGTGACTCTCCAACCACCCGTAAACAATATTATTTCACAGTATGGTTTAATTATTATTTTTATGATTCAAAAATACTTTTATTTTATTTATTCATTAAATATTTTAATTATGTTTTAAGGAACTGTGAACAAGACTATGATAATGTACCAAATGACGAAGAATTGGAAAGCCTCGAAAACAAAAACAATGTTAAAGGTAAAATAGTAGTCTACTATATTTTTAATAAAATATCTTTATATTAAATAGTTCTACTTAAATTATTAGTCAAACGGGAAAACACACGCAGTTCAACCAGTCAATATGCTAGTTCTCAAAAGACTTCTTCTGATCGCAGGTATATTATAGAATTATTTATTTTGTTCAAGACTTGTGTTTAACTAATGTGATATTATTTGCAGTTTAACAAAATCTCAGTGTTCAAAAATTGTAAAAGATACATTTGAAAAAGCCCGTGATGAGTATGTATCAAAAGCAGACTCTTGGAAAGCTGTTCCTGACAGTGCATACGATGAAGAAATAAAACAGCCAGCTATTGTATATGGTGTATATCATCTTTTAAGACTTTTAGGTATTCATTTCAGAATTATTATTAAATTATATTTGGCATGGTTTTTAAAAAAAAAACATTTTTACATATTACTATCAATTGAATGCATAAAAGTATATTATTTTTGTATCTATCGAATTGTTTAATAAAGTTATAGATTAAGAATTTGAACATTTGAGTTCATTGCTGATAACAAATGTTACTAAAATACATTTTGATGATTTTTTTATATTGTTTAAAAAAATAATTTTTTTTTTCAATCTATAGAAAATTTGCCAAAAATATTGGCAAACACTGAAGTGGATGGTGAAAAACTTTCAATCGTATATTCATACAGTAATGGACTACTGAAGTAAATATATTTAATTATTTAAATAATATAAATATTAAGGTTAAAACACTTTTTGCCTGTTTTACATTAAGATGTGCAAAAATGTGCACCTTACTGATCGTAGCACTTGGAAAAAATATACATTACATATTTTTCATACAAATTTGTAGTTTGTCAAGACTCTTAATATTTATAAAATAATTGACAAAAAAAGAGAGTAATTAAAAATAAATTTTGTAATACATAATTAATTTAATTTAGATAAAAAAAAATATTTTTCTAATAGTGATACGGTTTGATTTACCTATGAGCCATGGTTCATAATGACACCTAAATAGAAACTGCACAGATATTTCATAGCCTTGACTTATTCCTTGACTATCACCAATGAATAGTATTATTATTTGAAATCTAATGTTATGTGAAGGACTTTTACATTTTATTTAACAACAATGTAGAATTAATTTATTACAATGGATAACACTTGACAAACAATAAATCAAAATTTTTTTACTTTAGTTAATATTTTTGCCTATAACGCCGTATTTCTAATTTTAATTGATCAACATTTTTCTGAACATTTGTTTGTTTGTGAAATATTTAATTTTTGTTATTTCATAGAACACCATAATATATCAATACTGTCAATACTGCTGCATACCCTATCATTTTGCACGATATCCACTGTTGCTGGTAGCCTGTATAATATATATTATTTATTTATTTAACGAGCATAATATTCTAACATTTTTTCTCAAAATAAAAATGCCATTAACGATTTCTATAAATCATAACAATCTAAAGCAGAGGTTCTCAAACTATGGTACTCGGAAGACTACATGTCGGTACGCTAAAGGCTACAAAGTGATAGAACGGAGAGTAAATAAATATTTTAAAATTATGTTTGAATATAGTCACATGGAAATAGACATAAGTAATACACGACAGATTAATAATACACATGAGTGGTACGCTAAAAAAAAAGTTTGAGAACTGCTGATCTAAAGTAAATGTGTTTGTATTAATAAATAACTGTCTCTTAAAATGAATTAGAATATATTTTTTACAATAATAAGATTAAATTGTTAGAACAATTAACAATTTAGGGTAGATTCTTAATGTCATCTGTAAAGTGACATCAAATTGAAATTTCCAAGAGTTATGTCAGTATTTCGAGTAATGTCATTGACTTATCTAGCTATATGTAATAAAGGTTGTGCTTTATGGAAGGTTAATTTACTAATATATTATTTATGTTTATTTATATAGGTACCTCTCAACTCAAACTCATTTGTTTGGGATGCAGTATTATGTGAAAAACGAGATGGACGATACGGTAAAATCAAGTGGTCCTGTTCGAAATCACAGAAATCTTAAGAATATTTAAGTTGTTTTAAGATACCCTCTATATATAAATCCATTATATATATTATACAAATAAATGTTCAGAGAGTGGATGCATTAAATAACCGTCAATTATTTATGAAAATAATAAGTTTATGTATTTTAGCTTATCTCATCTCTCTCTCTCTCTTATCATGAACAATTTTAAAACTTTTCCCCTTTGTATACGTACAAGATGTTTCATTATTATCAGAGTATTAAGTGAGTGGTAAAAATGTCCCAACATTTTTTTAGAAAAATGTCATACAATATTTATCAAAATGATAAAAATACAATTAAATGTATTTTCAAAGAATAATTGATGGTTAATAAATAATGGAGATCACCCTTAATACCTAACCAATTATTAAGGTTTAAACTTACATATTTATTGTTATTGTTTAGGTTAAATTACTCTTTTTTTTATTTAAAAACATTTTTCATTTATTTCTATTAAAAACAAAAATATAAATATATAATATTGTATGAGGAATTAATGTTTATTTTATTTTCACTTATCAACTACTTTTGTCATCTGACTTCTTGCATTCTTTAATGACGAATAATTTCCCTGAATTTTTTCCATTTCTGCTTTTATGATCGCGGCTTCGATTGTGGACTCTAAGCATTTACAAAATCCTTCTTGAGCCTTGCGTAGACTACCTGGGACGAGTACACCAAAACGTTTGATAGGATCGTCTCCGCTGTCATTGCTTGCCAGATGGATCACATCAGAGTCCTTCTCGCGCACTACTGTTGAACGAGCAGTGTACGGTCCAGATGTCGGCAGCTGTAGGTCGGACACGCTACGGTGGCCCATCACATACCTACTTTTGGCAAGGTGCACGCATCCATCACGTAAACAGTGTTCCAGCCGGCCGATACTCGAACAATATTCGTCCATTAATTGTATCATTTGTAGACAAATCCCATCCAATTCGTCGTCGACTTGCTTTGCAGTCCGCTCCAAACCCATTATGATGATTTTTAAATTTCGTTATACGATATTACTTGGGCGTCGACGACGGATCAAGTGCTTGACGTCTCAATTAAATTCTTTGAGTATCGACTATTTCATTATATAACCACAGATAATAAGGACTATGGATACAACTAAATTATAGTTAGGACTTAGGTATAATAATTGGTAGAATATCAGTATTTAGTAAGCAATGTTTACGTCTATTCCAGATTTTGTAAAAAGTTTCAACAGCAACTACGTGAGATAAGACGGCGAAATCTCCACCCGTAATATTTATAGTGATAACCACAATCCACAGATGTGTGTAATGCAGAAGATTTTTATATATCTGTGGCGATAAACTGTAGAGGTAGCAGGCCTTATATAGCTGGGTCTATGATATAAACATATTATTATGTGGAAAAATCAATTCACCTTGTATACTTAACTTTGGATCATAACAATGGATGGAGAAATCTGAAATTGTATCATTTGCTGTGTCTAGGGCTATAGCCCATGTTCAGTAATGCCACCTAGTGCTACCTAGTAAACGATTATTGAAACTCACGATTTATTGAAAAAACTCATAATAATGAGTAATTTTGTTTATATTATAAGTAGTTGTAAGACGTGTTATGACTTAATAAAATATAAGGTGAAATCATTATTCATATTTGATGATAATATTTTAATATTATAATCATTAATTTGTAGATAACAATTTCGAAATTAATTGATTGTAGTTACTATAAATTACTAACAGATAGCGCGGTATGTCATTCGAATTGACATGAAAACTTTTTTATGTCACTAATGGTTAATGAATTTCCGATGCGCAACCGTCAATCATTGTACCATTTGTACCGAACGCCATGGTCCATGGACTCAACTCGATAGCTTGGTATGATCATTGATAATATAATACACTTAATGGTATCAGTGGTATGATCAAGGAACAATTATGGTGGTCGGTGGATAACTGATTAATCCACGATGTAGGAATTTATCTACTCTACATAGTGACCATAGTGTTTTAATTGGATATGTTAATCTTAAATTAGAAAGGTTTTTGACTGTTTCAAAGTGCAAGTAATCCTCATGAAACATAAACATACAATTCAAACAGTACAAATATGTATTAAAAAAATACAATACTTTTTACTGAAACTACAAATTTAAGTGAATTTTAAATTGACAAACGAAAATAAATAAAACAATACTAACAATTATACAAAACTATTCGCATACATTATACATGCTATATAATAGGTAGGTATAATAAATAATAATATAATTTTTTTGCTATGTATCCCTGTATATATTATTTATTTCGTATTATTTATTAATAAGAAATATATTTATATATGTCCAGTCCGTGGATTGTTCATTTAGGTACCAATAATTGTTAATAATTATAAGTATGCTAAGCGTGCATGACATACGTGCATATATTTAGCAATTTTGGGTAGGTAATATATTATATTTTGACATTTTGTTTTAAAGTGTATTCAGTTTTATAAGGCGATATCTCGAAGGTGCCGTTAGTTGAACTGCTTCCCCCACAAGTTTATCATGCACTCACATGTGAAAATTCTCTATTATTCTTACCATGTACAAAAAATTTACTTATTGTTTTAGTTAACAGATTATTAGTATCTTATCTACCCAATAAAAAAACAAAAAAAATAATACTAGATAATTCATAAGTACCTAGCATTAATTAGATAGGTAGATCTCAGTAAACCACCATTTGATGCTTCAAATGTGCATAAAATATTAGAATGGTCTGAAGAAACAAAAATAAAATATGTATTTTCTAATATTTTAATTTCAGTTCGATAATACTTAACAATTCCTGCTGTCGCAAATTGTTCTGCTGAACGGTCATTTTCAAAGTTGGCATGCATAAAAAATAAATGTTGAACTTGTCAAACTCAAGAATCCTTAAAATCATTCATAATATTATCTCCTGAACATGATTTGTTACCATTGATTGATTTTAATGAAACTATACTGACTTTTGATCGTGAAAAATGAAGAAACAATGTTTTGAATAAGAGTACTTGATGACGTGTATTATTCATATAATGTATAAATTATTTGCACGAAGTATTTAATAATTATTTCGGTTAAATATAAAAATAACTTATGGACATTTTAAATATTTATATTATGAGTAATAGTTACAATTGTTGTTTTTAAATAGTTTTCACCCATAACATATTCATACAATTTAAAAATATTTTAGGTTTTTTATTATGTTAAATTGTTGGTGCCTTAATGGGGCCCATTTTAACTATTTGCCCCAGGGCCCATTATTCTATAAATAGGGGCTTGGTACTTATATAATTGTAATAGTAAAAATCATTGGTACGGGCTTAATAAAATTACATACGTGTTATTCAATCACCATCAATACATTCTCAGATATTATAGCCTACAGGTATTATGGACAGTTCAGTATAGGCGGCTGCTGCAGGTACAATAGGTACATGCTAAATATGATTTAGTTTTTAATAATATAATCGCCACGAAGACCTATATATTATGTTAGTCGGCTTATTTTTGTTTATTTATTTCTGTACCCACGATATAACAACTTAAATTTATCGGTCTATGTATATTTTAATTATTTTTTTTATCGGAAACCCATCACAACCGTATACATACTATGTATATAGTTTATACTGTACCTATACATATCAAACAGGTACCTTATATATTCTATTTGTTATGTTCCGGTTGGCACCGTCTATGCTCTACTGCCTTCAGGGTCAGCCTCAGACCATCATCCCAATTCCTAGGATATTCGAGAGTTCATTGCATCAACAATTCCATTAACTAATTATACGATAGAGCAACACTATACGTATATAGGCATATTATAGCTTGTGTTCGAGAGGGGGGAGGGGGGTACGAGAAAATTTCCCGAGGGGTTCCCCGTAGTAAAATTAGTTTGGCTTCACTTTAGTTGTTCTGTGAACATAATTTCATTATTATTATTCATATTCGACAATGTCCGATCGGGGCGTAGTTAGTACCTAAGTCTATAGCGTGTACATACATAAGTATATATATAAGAGCAGTATACGTCTATGGCTATACCTACACAACTCTAATATATGTATGATATAGCGTTTTAAATAAATTATACCTTTTTAAAATTGTACTTGTGCGTTGTTATTATAGGCAGTCTAATATTGAAAATTCAAATATTGGGAAACACTGCATTTGAAAATTCAGTATTAAGCCTAAAAAAATAAAATGATATGACTGTATAAGAAGCATAATGTACCTATGCGTTAACCACCAACTAGTGGTTTTAAGTATAAAATATAATTAAAATTAAATAAAATAGACTTAATAATTAGTATAATGCTTATTACACCCAGATAAATTTTACAAAGTATAAAATATTAATTTTTTTTTAGTTGATAAAACATATTAACTACTCATATTTTGAAATAATTATGGCTTCCACGTCTTTTAATAAACCTTTTATTATGCACATCGTTATCCTTAGTTAACAATGCTCAATGTAACTAAGAAACTTGTAACTATACTCTTATACTCATTCGGATTTCGTTTTAGATACTTCAGTATTAAAAAAAAAATCATTCAATTAACATAAATAAAAAAGGGTAGATGACATTTGAAAAAAATAATTTATCATGACCGCGGCTAGTACCTATATATTACTTAAGTGGTATACAAATTACAAAAGCAAATTAATTAAAAATATGATCTTTAAGTTGATATTTAAAAAAAAATTCAGAATTCTAATAATCGCTTGGTGAAACACACCATTAAAGTAAATAATATGATAATTTATAAAATTATAATATGTGAATATGTAAATCATAATTCCTTTGAAAATTTAAATGTTATATGTATTACATATTATTATCATGGTTTTCATTTAAGTTATTTAATATATAAATGCATATATAACAAGTACCTGTAAGTCGTAAAGGATGTAAAATGTAAATCCATTGTTCGAAAACTGCATACTGATGAGCACTGATCATATTTTGTAAACACTGTAATAAATTGGTAAAATGTCGTTTAATTCTTTGGAATTGAAGCATTTCCTTTTCCACTTCCATAAACTATTATTAAACTCAATTTCTAACCGGGTCGACAATATAGCTCAGAAACCATTTTTCTAACTTTAATCTCATTATTTTTGAATGACGATCTTCATTAAGATATCTGTCCTCTTTTCTTATCTATCAATCATTGGCATATCTCTTCCAAATAGGACATTAATCCTTAATTTATATAATAATATCTTACAATGTGATAAATTAAATGTTGAATACTTTTAAAAAACTTTTCCACGATGTTTAAAATAAGAAAATAACTGTTTTTAATTTGTTTTAATAGTCAAATGGAGTTGAAAAATATTTACATTTTATTATTATTATATCAATGAAAAAAACTAAAATATTATGCATTATTGTCAATTAAAATTGTTAATACCTAAAAAATGGTTTAATTTAATTATATAAATAACTTCATATTATCTTCTACTACCTTCTTAGTCACTTTTAATCTATTGTAAAATATTTTTCGTGACGAAAAAAAACATGTGAAAATTGACTAAAAAGCACGATATATTAATATGAAATTTATTTTAAAATAGATAAACAAAATATGTTATGTGAACTAGATGATAAGTGATATAGAGACAGAATTTAACTCATATTTTTACATTAAGAAAATCAAAATAATATAAAATCGTTAATTTATAGAATATAAGGGATATTGAAATAATAAATTAATGTTTAACATTTTACTACACTATTTTCAAAATGTTATAGATAATTATTAAAAAAACCATGCTTAAACATAGGTACGGAATAGGTTGGTATATTTGAGAACAATAGAAAAAGTAATACCATAATTACGTTTCTTTACTATATTCAGGTAGATAGTTGGTGATAATTTAAAAAACAAAAAAACAAAATATATATAGTGCAATTTATGTAAGGTATTTTTTGTTATCAGTTTTTTCTATACATTTAAATTTAGATCACAATCAAACGGTGTCGTATTTAGGCTACCAAAGGTACATCACTGTCGTCGATGAATTGATCAGCACAACGACAAGTCCGAAATAACTATTAATTATTATGGTATTCACGTTCACAGGTCGAAATCACTCAATCGCATCGAGTTTGAAACCTACGTGTTGATGAACACCGATAAGTGCGATTGGCTATTAAAAAATACTGACCATTTATACCGGATTTTCGCTTTGCAAGTGGTTCGCAGTCTATAAAGGAGTTTGATATAGGCAATATGAAGGGGAAATTGAGCCGTAGATTGCAGCAACGTTGTATACGAAGTAATTAATGATAATTAGTGCTAGTGAACACTGCTCACCTGTCACTTATCATGACACACGACTTTCGCACATGCGCATAATATTATGTCACTACCGCGAAGTTAGGCTTCAGAACGTTTTTTGTCGTTAATAATTGCTGCTTGAAGTATGTGCGTCTTGGCCGTCATACCGCGGTTGATGTATACTTGGTTTGTCACCACCTTTTTACTTCTTAAATAATGCAGTTATCCAAAATCTGGTTTTTGTAATTCTTAAGTACACTAAATTACTAAAAGATAGAATTTTGAAATCCTTGAG